TGCCCTGGAGAAACTACCAGCGCTGATCATCAGGGCTTCTCTCAGTCTCCTCTTGGCAGAAGCCCTGTGTTTCAGACAGGTGAGCATCTGGAAAAACACATCACATCTAGCTCTTGATCATTCTTTTGGGATCTATTGCTCAGGTCATTGTGCTAAACTTCTCAATATTGATCAAAGACAGCTTCTTTTCAGAGAAGCGCAGCTGCTCCATCCCTGAAAGTGTTCAAGGTGAAGTTGGATGGGGCTTGGAGCAACCTGGTGTAGTGAAAGGTGTGCCTGCCCCTGGCAGGGTGGTGGATTGAGATGGTCTTCAAGTCCTTTCCAGCCCAAACCATTCTGTGATTCTGTGATTCTTTCCTAGGCTGCCTATGAGATAATACACAAAAGGCAGACATGGTTAAGAAACCTTCTGTTCCTTTGTCTGCTTTTTACTACCTCTACCTTGACAATATGAGAGCTGCACTGTAGTTACCCCATCTTTTGCATGAGGCAGAAGAAAGGAAACAATTTCCCCAAAAAGGGAAGAAAATTGTGTTTGCCAGGAAAACACTACTGGCGTTTTTCCCTTCTATCATCTCCATCTTCTCCAACACATTATTCTAAAATAAACCCACAAAAAGCACCCCCCTCCCAGCTTCCCAAAATAAGTCAACAAAACTGCTCAAGCAAACAGAAAAAACCCAAAAGAAAACCACAAGCAAACTTAAATTTGCTTTAAATAAAAAGATTGAGGAAATTTGAGAGATCCCACTGTGTGACTGATGGATAGAACTAATGAGATCAAAATGAGTAATTACATAGGCTAATAAAATTTTATTTCTGCTACATCCTGATAAGCAGCATAATGACTGCCTTGGCCAAGTGCAACTGGCTTTAATTCTCAGTTCCTTTCTCTGTAGAGTCTATTCCAACTCCTCTGTCACCTGCTGCCAGCCAGGTCAGCCCATTGCTCTGTGGAAGCTTGGAAGAAGAGTCTCCCTTCCCTTCCTTTGCTCAGGTAAACCATGTAGCAGAGTGACTCTTGTCAGAATTACCTGTCTTAGTTGGGAATTAGGCTGAGACTATAATTGCTTCCCCTACAAGAACAATGTGGGATAAATCTTAGGCAGATATCATAAGGTTTGAGTGCTTGAAGGGGCTTCTAGATTTTTTTGCCACTTAAGGGGTCTGCAGGATTGTTCAAGTATGTGGAGTTTAATCATGTCTTACAACTGTTTTGATAGATGTTGAGAGTTGGAAAGGCAAAACCAGAAACGTGGCCTAAACCTGCTCCAAAGACAAGAGGTAAGAAAATTTGATAGTAGTACTTCAGGTTCTTTACCATGCACCTGAATGTGAGAAATCCTATAACTTCAAAAGAAGGATCTGGAGTGTGGAAGGGCATTTGTGTGGTGAAAGTTTTGTACAGCCTTCTGCATGTCCTTCCCTCTTTCAGATGAGAACACTCTGGCACTCCCTGTGCCTGGAGAGAGTGATGGAGAAAGTGACAGCTCTGACCGGATACCTGTGCCCAGCTTCCAGAATTCCTTCAGCCAAGCTATTGAGGCAGCCCTCCTGAAACTGGACAAACCATCCACAGCTGATCATTTGTCAGGTAAAGGCCAGGGAGAAGGGCAGGAAAACTTTCTGATGTGAAGAAATTGAGTATTTCCCCTTCTTCCTCTGGGAGAAGTGAAAGCAGCAATTTTGGGGACCAAAAATTGGCCTGAGAACAGTTCTGAAAATTGTCAGGTTGTGGTTTCTGAACAGCTTGACTAGGGCTTCTGTCAGCTTAAAGCAGCCTCGTAGTGGGAGCTGAGATCTCCAACTAGCAAAGAATCCTGTGAGGGCAAAGGTGGCTTTTGACAATCGTGTTGGCCATGTCTCTATTGGAATCTAGAGCTTTATCTTAAGGATGTTCAGGTTATACATTTCTAAACTGAAAATACCTGAGCTGATGAACTACCACTTCAGTTTGACCAAAATATCAAGGTAACTGCTGGCTGAAATTTCAAATTAGGCAGTGTGAAACAAATTGAGGTGAACTTTACCCTGGTGCTGGCTGGTGAAACTTACTTTTAATGCTCATTTCTGATGTTTAGCTTTGGCTTCTGTTTGGAGACTGCATTGGGTGATAGAGAGAGTTGGATGGGAGGGCCTGGGAGTTTCAGTGGTGTCTGCTCCAGTTGTGGTTTTTTTGGACATGTATCAAAGTGATACTTGTTGGAAAGGCAAACTGCTGGACACTGCAGTCCAAGGATCTGCTGTTGCAACAGCAACTTTGCAATCATTAAGGCATGTTTATAATTGTGTTTCAGTGTGATGGAGTCTCCCTTAGTTCATCTGCAGTCATTTTTTTGTTAAACTGTCTGGTGTTCAGTGAATTGATAGTAAGTGCTGTGGATCTGTAGAAGCCACTTAAGCCAGGGAAGACCATTTATCATTTCTGTGTGATGTTTCTGTTCCATTTTAAGAATGACAGCATCATTTTAATTCTTCACAGAGGAAAAGGGAGGCAAGAAAAGAAAGAAACAGAAGCAGAAGCTATTGTTCAGCACCTCTGTTGTTCACACCAAGTGATTCTGCTATTCAAGAGAAGTTTCCTCTCCTGGTTTTCTTTTAATTTTGCTTTGTTTTGCTGCTATAGTTTAAGTATTTAAATTTGAACAGCCTAAACTTGTTTTTCCAGGACTTCTAGGGGCTTCAGGAGGAAACCATGACAGTATATGTTGAAGTAACATGTTTTGATTCCAACTGCTTAATGAATTTATACTGAAACAGAGTTTTGAAAGTAACAACCCAGAGACAAATCTGCCAAGGCTTCTAGTTGCTGAGTCAGTCCTTTGGGCATGATTAGCAGTGTGAAAGTCCTTACAGGTGTGTGGCACTGCCAAAGTACTGCAATATTACCCAAGAGAAAAGGCAGAGAGCCTTTATTTTTCTGTAATTATTCATGGGCAGAAGTCCAGCTGACTGACAGTAGTGCTGTTGCAGTAAAGCTGTCAAACTGCTCTCTTGAGAAACTGGTTTTGGCTGCACTGGATACAGGCAAAACAGCTTATTGGCTTTAGAGTGTTAGCTGCTATATCTGTTCTTTTTCTAAAGAGCAAGAATTCCTCCTGTTCTCCTGGCTTGGAAAGATAAAAAGCTGAGGTGAGTGTAAAGCAGAACTTGGCTACTTGGTTTTAAAGTGGCTTGATGATTTTTGTATTTCAAAATGGCACTAGTGGTAGAAGGAACTTCCCGACTTCTCTCAGTTGTTCAGGTCTGTTTTATTGTGGGTGAGTGAGGCTGCTACTTTTTTTTGTTTTTTGCCAACCATGGGCTACTCATTCTTTTTAACCTGATCATCTAGAATAAACACTCCCCTCTAGGGCTCCTGGTAACCTTCTGAATGATGGTTTGACACTGGCTGCTCTTGAGTTGGAAGAACAACTGCTAGCTGAAGTCTGTAGATAACTTTACACCCCAGCAAGAAACTGGGGTTCTCTTGTACTGGGATAAGGGCCTGTATGTGCTTGGTTCTGGGATTTAAGTTGATCTGTGCTATGAACATGTCTCCTCTGGACCCCTCCCTGCTCTTTCTTTGGGTGGTCACATTCTGCACTGCTTGTGGTTTGATTTGAGCTACTGAGTTAAGTGGTGTGGATTTTGTTGAATAAATGAATTTTAGGTGTAATGTACCAGTCAAGGCCAACAGTTGCAATGAATCACACACAGCTGCAGCTGAACTGTCACAGCAGTGTGGAGCCCTGGAACATTGCAGAGACTCACATTTTACCTTCCTGCTGGCAAAATTAATTACAGGGCCCTGGTACAAAGTACCACTGAACTTAGGGAGGGAGACTGACTGTCTTGGGTTGTCTTCAGCCCCAGTGGCACAGGCTGCAGTGGGCTCTGTCCCTCTGACACTGATCTGAGCAGGAACTGTGTGTCTGAGGCACCTGGAGTATTCCAACACCACTGGCACTCAGTGGTTGTGTCCCTGTTTAAAAAGCTGGTGTCAGTACATGGATGCTTCATTTCAGAGCAACAGGCTCCACTTGTGTGCCTCATGGAAACTGGTACCAGAGTCCATCACATGTGGCTGTAAACCAGAAAGAACAGGAGAGGGGGGAGGTACAGAATATTTCCAACTGCTACAGGAAGATAGAGGAAACACCTGCAAGGCATTCTTTGAAAGCAGCTTGACTTCACGCTTGGTCACAACTAACCCCACTCAGTGGAAGACAGTACAGCTTGTCAGGGGCCTGCAGAGAAACCAAGACAACACACCTGACAGGGGTAACAGGTCTTGCTGTACTTTAAATGCATATGGGAAAACAATTGGTGAGGGCAGAGAAAGCAACTAAGATTTAAATATGCAGTGAAGCTTGTTTGCAGCAAGTCATTTTAAGCTAAGGAACAGGAGTAACTACTTAAGTGTCTAACCAGTATCTGTTGTGTTCTGTTATCTCTGCACATTTATAGTCAACTTTTCTTTGCACTGGGAAGAGAGAATAGCTGGAGCTGGTGTAACTCACCTCCACATGCCACAGGCACTAGGGTAAGGGAAGTGATGTGGGCAAGGCAGGCTGTCCCTGCTGCAGGGGCTGTCCCCACAGGGACAGCATCTTCAATTGTATCTTGTTTTCCTATGGATTCGAGATAATACCAGCAATGCTACTTTCCTGTAACTGATTGGTGTAAACTTAATAAATATCTAAGCAGTACTTGTACCTATGAGTTTTATGGGGGGATGGAGTTGAGCCTTGCAGCTCTGCCATACATTCCATGCACTCACTGCTCCTGTGTACACAGTGGTGCTTTTCTCACTCAAAACAGTGATAGCCCTGTGGCTAACAGTGCACTTAAAGTAAAAAGCAGATGTTAATGCTTTTTGTATGATGGAGAGTAACTCCAGTCCTTGTCTGTGCCAACTGCCTAAAGCACCCTTCTACCTCAGCAAGAAGAACACCTTGAGCTGCTGCACTCCTCAGGAGGGGTTTGGACTCCTGCAGTGAAATAGGCAAGTAGCCTGCTTAAGAGAAATCCTGTTTTATTTTTAAAAAATTTGTTTAAAAACATTTGGAATGGGGAATGAAGTCTAAATATGAACAAATGCTTTTCCAGTCCCCTGCACTGCTTAACACTGAAGATAACCAGTCACATCTTGATTAAACAAGTACAGAATAGAGGTGAACAGTAACAAGGGACATTCAGTCTGTCTCTGTGCCATCATCATCCTCCTCCTCATCTCCACTTTGAGACTGCTCTTCTGTAAGGGAACAGCTCAACAAGGACTTCTGTATACACTGTCTTTCCTCTGCAATAAAGAAAGCAACAGAGGGTTATTACTTGATCTCTTCACATACACTGGACTGTCCTCCACTTTGAAAGACAAACATTTCTCAGGCCAAGAATTCAGAAGTAGCCCAGCACATCCTACAAAACCCCCAGGAACCGAGGCTACATTTTAGGAAAGGAGCTAGAGACACTCACCTTCATTTGTACAGTTTTGCAACAACCTCAGCAGCTGTGTTCTGTTATACTGAATCAGGAATTTCTGACACGTTCTTATGGTACCTGTGGAAGTCACAAGAATAGCATGTAACAATCTACACAACCAAATGTTTCAGAGCTGTGTGCGTATTTCCAGAGGAGCATTGTATCAAGTGACAAATGCCCCATGAAACAAGTTTGTTAATGTGAATGCTACAAAGGGGCTGTAACGTCATTTCTCATTGCTGAGGTTAAGTGGTGGAGTAATAATTTCTAACATGCAGTGCCTGTTAGTTCCCCTGGGGCTTAATTTTCACAATACAGAAGCTACCACCCTTTGAAAATATATTTTAAAATAATGTAACATTGTATTTGCTGCTCTGGCTTTGTGATAAATGTAATGAAGCGTCAAACAAAATTAACGAGGCTTTCAAAAAAGAGCTGCTGGTGCCTGTTTCTTATTTAGATGTGCTGAAAGCAGTTGCTGTCAGTAACACAGGAGGACTGTGGCAGGAATGGTTAGAGCTGACCTCCGACGTGCAGCGTGTTGAGGAAGCAGGGGTAGCGCTGCCCGCGGCTCTCCAGGCTCCGCACGAAGGGCAGCGCGGAGCACAGCAGCCGGTACGAGTCCTTGCGGCACCGCAGCAGCACCGTCCCGGTGTAGGCGTTCAGGTACTTCACTGCGGACACAGCGCACGGCTGAGCGGAGCGGAGCGGAGGGACCCGCGGCCCGGCCCGCCCGCCCGGCCCGCACCTGTGAAGGAGATGGAGCAGCACGCCAGGCCGTAGTCCCCGTGCACCCGCGTGATGGCGTCTCTGACGGCGAGGCCCAGCGCGCGGTCCTCGATGCACTGCCGGCAGCGCGGGTCCTCCGAGACCACCTCGCACAGCACGTACCTGCGGGACGGCGCGGCGTGAGCGGCGCGCACCGCCCGCACCCGCGGCGCGGCCCCCCCCCGCCTCACCTGTTCTTGAAGCGCACCATGGCGGCGGCGGCGGCGCGCGGCACGGACGGACGGCGCGCCCGGCCAATGGGGAGCCGCCTCTGCGCGCTGTAGCCAATGGGCGGCGCGGAGGGGCGGGGACAAGAGGAGGACAGCGCGGCCGCTGCCGGCGGGGCGGCCCCGCCTCCCTCTATGGGCCGCGCGTGCGCGGTGCGGCCGCGAGCTGCCCGCGGGTCACGGAGCCGGAATCGCTGAGGGTGGAAGACCTGAGGCCATCGTGCCCGGCTATGAGCAGTTCTCACCATGTTAGCTGACCATGTCTGGTCTTTCCTTCAACACCTCCGTCACCCTGGGTAGCCCATTCCAATGTCTGATCACCCTTTCTGTGAAGAAGTTCATCCTTATGACTAACCTAAAATTCCCTTGACGCAGCTTAACACTGTTGTCCTGTCGCTTGTTGCCTGGGGGAAAAGCCCGATCCGCACCTGGCTCCGGTTCCCTTTCAGGTACTTGTAGAGAGCGATAAGGTCCCTCCTGAGTCTCCGCCAGGCTGAACACCCCAAGCTCCCTCAGCCGCTCTTCACAAACACACTCCAGACCCCTTCCCAGCTCCGCAGCCCTCCTCTGGACCCACTGCGCTGTTAGCGGAGGAAATCCTGCCTCGTGGTGGCTGGGGTATATTACACCTCAATATCCTTCCTGAACTGAGGGGCCCAGAACTGGGCAGAGCACTGGGGGCGCGGTGCCAGCAGTGCCGAGTGCGGGGATCGGTGGCTCCCCGGTGCCGCTGCCCGCGCCATTCCCGGCACACGCTTCCCGCTTCCCGCTTCCCGCTCTCCCCCGGCCGCGCGCTCCGCTCCGCCTCCCGCCCTCCGCCAGGGGGCGCGCGCGGCGCGCGGGCCGGCCTGAGGGGGCGGCTGAGGGGGCGGCGGGCGCGGGGTCTGCCCAAGGTCGGATGCTTCCCTTTTGTCCCTTTCGCTGTGTTGCACCGACCCGCCCTGGCCAAGCCCCCCCTTGTCTTGTGCCTAAAAAGTCTAAAATGAGGGAGACGGGACCTCTCCATATGATGGGAGGTGCGGGAGGTCCGGAGGAGGCGGGCGAGTACCGGCCCCTCGAAGGCTTCAGCAGAGCGTCCGGAGCCTCCCCGGTGCTCCTGGAAGGGCTCTGTCTTTGCTACCTCAGAAAACTGCTCCAGTATTTGTAGCTCCTCAGCCTCCAGGTATTCGGGGTTCGGGGATATGTGCTAATTAATGACAACAGCTAAGAAAATTGTGGAACAGAGCTACTTCTATAATTATTTCTGTAGTGATGTCCCAAACTGTGATGTGTGACACTGTCGAGGAAGCAGGGAGGGCTCTTTGAAAGGATCTGGTAGGAGAATTAACTGGGGAGAAGGGAATGAGGGGAATAAGGGAAAAGATGTGAGGTAGATATCTGAATGTGAGATGGGAGAGTTTTGTCGAGGTTCTTGGAGCCAAGTCACATAGGAGTGCTGAGACAGTATAGATTAAGCAGGAACTCATTGCTAATTCAGAGTGGAAACATCTTTAATGACCTTCATTCTAGACACAGAAAACAATGATAAACCCAGTGGAAATCCTGTCCTGGGTGATAAACTTCTGCCCTCTGAAACAGATGCTTGTTCTGCTGCTCTCTCCCCTTGTCTATTAACTCCTCTCCTTCACCTGTGATCACATTTTTGGGTCGTATTTTTTTCTAAGAACTGCAAAATGTGAGTTGCCTGAGGAGAAAAAGCACGAATCCCAGCATGGACTTCTAAGAGACCTTTTCTCTTGGGCCATGATCAAAGGGTTTGGGGGCAGTTTTGAAGATAATACAGATAGAAGCATTTTCTCGATGAGAAGACTGCATTGCATTGATCTTTGCCATATTTCTCTGTGTTTTATTATCCAAATGGGGATCTAGCTGTAATCTGTTCCACTTGTCAATACAATGAGCTCCTAGGTGATAAGCTAGTCTCACATTTTTGAACAATATTAAAGTCCATGAAGATTCCCATTGATTTTCTTTGTGGAGTGAGATTCCAGTTAAGGCTTACAGTGTGCCCACCATGTAGTATTCGGGGTTCGGGGATATGTGCTAATTAATGACAACAGCTAAGAAAATTGTGGAACAGAGCTACTTCTATAATTATTTCTGTAGTGATGTCCCAAACTGTGATGTGTGACACTGTCGAGGAAGCAGGGAGGGCTCTTTGAAAGGATCTGGTAGGAGAATTAACTGGGGAGAAGGGAATGAGGGGAATAAGGGAAAAGATGTGAGGTAGATATCTGAATGTGAGATGGGAGAGTTTTGTCGAGGTTCTTGGAGCCAAGTCACATAGGAGTGCTGAGACAGTATAGATTAAGCAGGAACTCATTGCTAATTCAGAGTGGAAACATCTTTAATGACCTTCATTCTAGACACAGAAAACAATGATAAACCCAGTGGAAATCCTGTCCTGGGTGATAAACTTCTGCCCTCTGAAACAGATGCTTGTTCTGCTGCTCTCTCCCCTTGTCTATTAACTCCTCTCCTTCACCTGTGATCACATTTTTGGGTCGTATTTTTTTCTAAGAACTGCAAAATGTGAGTTGCCTGAGGAGAAAAAGCACGAATCCCAGCATGGACTTCTAAGAGACCTTTTCTCTTGGGCCATGATCAAAGGGTTTGGGGGCAGTTTTGAAGATAATACAGATAGAAGCATTTTCTCGATGAGAAGACTGCATTGCATTGATCTTTGCCATATTTCTCTGTGTTTTATTATCCAAATGGGGATCTAGCTGTAATCTGTTCCACTTGTCAATACAATGAGCTCCTAGGTGATAAGCTAGTCTCACATTTTTGAACAATATTAAAGTCCATGAAGATTCCCATTGATTTTCTTTGTGGAGTGAGATTCCAGTTAAGGCTTACAGTGTGCCTACCATGTATGTTTGTTTCCCTGCTGCCCCCGTGTTTGTGGTGGCATCCCCCATCCTGCCTTCCGACAGGGCTCGGGTTGCCCTGTGCTGCTCAGGTTGCTTTTATCCATCCCCTCCTTTATTTCCTTCCTGCAGAGACACGCTGGGCTCTGACAAGCAGAGCATGTGAGTGCACTCTGCCCTGTAATCCAATAGGACATGTGCACTGTGCATGCTACAGGCTGGGCCCTGTGTACAGCACAGGCCTGTGCTTTGGGTCCAGAAGGCTGATTAGGAGAGACACGGTGCAGAGAGCAGGGTTGTGAGATGGTCCCGTGCTGCTTCGTTTCACGGAGGGTATTGCCTTAGCTCCCTGCTCTTGGTTTGGAGGATGCACAGAGCAGACCTGAGTCACCACAGCTCCTTGCACAGTCACTGGCTGTGTTAGTACAAGGTGTGCAAGTCCAGTCAGGCATCCTGGCGTGCTGAGCTGACAGCACAGGACTAAAAGGTTACAACATCTTCACGTTTGTTTTCCCATCTCCTCACTCTCATCTTCTGCCTGCTCTGCTGTATGGATTCTAGTGTCAGGGATTCAAGAAACTTGCAAGTGATGGTGAGTTACACACTCAAGGTGGAAAAGAAATTTTTTCTCTGAGAGAGAAAAAAATAAGAAAATTATATTTAAATTGAAGAATGGGTCAAGAGACCTGGCAAGAGAGAGGCTGGATGTCTCTCCTGCAGACTGGGAGAGAAAATGTCCTTGGGATATCTTATCAAATAGAGGTCATGGAGGACAGAGCGTGCAAGGACAGGGGGAAATAACATTCACTGTCTATACACGTTAGAGACCATTTGTAAAGCAGTTTAAGAACCTTTTATAGAAGATTCTCCATCAGTGTAAATGTTCATCAGTGATTGTCCAATAAAGTGGTGGTGCTGGGGAGGTGCAGGAGGAATACTGAGGTCTCCTTTTCCCAACCCTTGTTTCTTGTTTGTGGTACTGTGCCTGCAAAGGAGCTAGTATCAATCAGTCTGGTTTGGTTTTATTACCATTTTAGTTCATTATCTGACATTTTACTACAGGCTTGAAGATCTAGACCCTCACTTTGGATTTACACACTATCTGTATCTCCAGGCTGCAGGTCAGAATACATTTGTATGGAATTAATTGTGCTAATAATCTGCAATAGACTGTGATAAATGCATGTTTTCTTGTGTGCAACCAGCTTCTAGAGTTTGTGTGTAATTTGCTGTAATTAAAATGACTAGTAAATTTATTCAAAACCTCACACACACTCATATTTAGTGAATCCTTGCACTCTTTTTAGGTAGAATGGATCCATTTTATAGATAAGGAAGCTAAGGTACAGGGGGAATAAACATTCTTCATTGTAAATAGCTGTCAGTCCAGAGATAGAGATCAAGGACATGAAGTGAGTAGAAAGAACTGGCATATCAGCTCATAGGGTGTTGGAGTATAGGTCTGGGATGTTGCTTGTGCATGAAGTAGCCGAGTAATTACATTCTGGAGTAAAATTAGGATGCATTGTGATACTCCCTCCTTGTGATACCACAATTACATCTTCCCTGTGTAGCCAAAATAATGGTTTTTCCTTCTCCCTGGAAGCACAGAACTGAATTTGCCATCAGGTGTGGTAGCAGAGTTGGGGGAGACAACTACATTTTGTTCCACTGTGTGCACACTGCATCCCCAGATAACCTCAGTGCTGAAAATACAAAACAATCTGGCTAAAATTAAAACTGCTTCTTAAATCCTGTCTGATGTTGCCTGAAGCTTTTTGTTCAGTTTATCTTCACAAGGTCACTGAGACAGAAGAGTGCATTCTCTGAGCATGCTGGCCTGGAGCTTTTCATGCAGATGCTTTCATTTAACATTTGGGACATTCTCCTTCTCCCTTAGGTCTCTTCCTTTGTACTCCCCCTCATTTTCTATATCTCTCTACTTTTGAGTTCAGGTTCCCTCAGATCAATACACATAAGGCTAAAAGCTATCCCTTTTTTATCCCCCTAACATGTAATCATTAATCATAAGCTGTCTTTGCACCCAGGCTGTCATGGGTCACAGACTGCTGGTCTGTCAGAGCTGCCACATGAGCTGCCCTGTGTGCTGCCTGCAGCACTGCCCTCGTCTTTGCTGTCATCCTGCCACGTGGAGTAATTGGCTT